CTTACTGTCTTCTTTTTCTAGCAAATACATTTTCATCCTGTTGGTGGCACAGTCCTTTTCCTCTTTCCCTCTTCACTGTCTATGTATTAACACAATCTTCTTCATTGGTTCATCTCATCACACTATCTCCTACACACTAGCTTCACACCCATGATCTCTTACTAAGTTACCATCTTAGTAAGCTTCCCATGTCCAGTTTGTAGCCCTCATTTCTTCCTGTTGATTTTGTGATTCTTGCACTAACATTTTTATGATTACTCATGGCTCCTAAGATAGCACCAAAACACCCTACTAAAGCCAGCAAGGCTTTGCAGGACCCTCATCCGTCTATCATTAGGCCTCATCTCTTGCCTACTTCCCACAGGCAGACTAATCTTCTCTTAGTTTTAAGAAAGTTCATTGTCCCCCCTGGGTGCTCTCACATGCTGGTTGTTCTGTGGGTTGCCTCATATTAGCCGTTCCTCTTCCTCTGCCTGTCCTTTAGCCTGGATTACACTCCCTCATGAATTGTGTATGAGTGTAAACATAGCTCACCAGTGGAAACACTGCTTCCGCCAGGAGCCTTCTGGGACTAGCCTCTTCCTGGAGGGCTCACTTACCACCTTCTGTCTTCAGACAGTTGTTCTGGGGCCATGCTGAGACTGATTGTTTGTCCAGTGTCTACATTAATCTGTAAGCTCCAAGAGAAAAGGAGCTGGTTTTCCAATTCTCTGCCCAGAACATGCTGTTTACTTACAAAGTGCATTTTGATATTAAAAATAAGAAAAAGATAGAGTACAGTAAAAGATTCAATGTTCTTACAAAGTTTGAAAACAGAATGATCCTTTGAAATATGGGGGAAGAGATAAATCAATCGTTTCTTTGCCCAGCATTTCTGTAATGCAAAGGTGTAGGTTACAAAAACCAAAAGCATTGCTCGGTTTTTTTTGTTTGTTTGTTTTGTTTTGTTTTTCCATGTAGCTCTGTCTCTGCCTTTGCCTGGGAGTTCTTAGAGATCACAGGCATTCTGTAATAGCTCTCTCTACAGAAACACAAAGC